CAGATAAGCTGCGTATTTGCGTAAAAAAACAACCCCAAAATATTCATAACCCAATAACTTTCAATTAACTTGCGTACAGAAACGCATGCATTAAATGAAAAACTCAAATGTATTAAAACAACATGCGTAAATACCCAATGAAACAGTTTCAGCGTGTGTACAAAGGAGCTAATTTCCGAAACACAATTACAAGCTGATTTACTTTCCGAATCAAGCCTATATATATTTAGAACAGTTATGTACATCTAAAACATTATTTCATTTTTTTTAAATCTTAAAATGATCACTAATTTTGGGGAAAACCCAATAGAGTGCTGAATAGATGAGTGAAAAAATATTGGTTACCCAATGAAAAATGTAGTAACCAAATTAAAATAGAAACCCAAGAGTAAAAACTCAATTGCTCAAAAAGTTATCTGGAGCTCTGACAATGGATTGTATCAAGATTTCAGAATCCTTGATGCCTGATGACTCCTCTCTCTCGAAAGACCAAAGATGACGTCTGTCTGGAAATCATTATTCTCCACAATCACCTGGTGTCATCACGATTTAATTGATACTGATTCATAACCAGATGTTCATTATATAGTTGGAGTTGGACAATGGACCTCTGAATTATGGAAAGGATTTTGTCGCTTTTATTTGTTGAACAGAACATCAGACACAACAACTTCGCTGACAACCACCAATGACCAGTGTAACCAAACAAGTTGTGGGTCATAATTTACTGACCTGTCGTGTAGCTACAATAGACACTGGAGACTTACACTGTGCGCAAAGTAATAAACCAAACAACACGACATGTCATTATGAAGCTCTTAAACTTTGTCTGGTAACAGTCGTGCATAGTAGCAATAACAGCCAATATTTCCCCATGGTTCACTGCAGGACAAGACGGCCAGAAACAGTAGCTAATTTCACCTTTAATGCACATGTGTCTGTTGGGTAGGTTGCAACAGACATTCTAAACAATTCATTTGTAATCTTAAAGCCAAATATGACACTGCCAAGCTTGTTTGCTTCCTTTGCTTGCAGTGTAAGTTGAATAGGAAAGAGAAGGATAACAAGTTAGTGCTTGGTGATTGTTGACGATTCATTGCTGTTTTCAAGGGTCCCATCTAGTCATTTGCAATCAGCTCAAAATTCAATTTACATAGAAGGTGGGTCTTACACAAATCAACAGGACATATTTTTAAAATGACGCACATACGAGAAATCTGTCTTGTTTTCACTGTAAGGATATTTCAAAGAAGAACTTTTCTATTATTGATAATGCAAAAACTAAAGATCCTATCTTGTAAAGAAAATACATGAAAGAATTCATTCCTATCTTTCACCAATAATATGTAAATCAGTATTACAAAATAAATGAAATGCAAGGAGAAAATTTGATGACCTTGTCAAGATGATAACAAGCTGATAATTATGAGACATAAAAATCTCTAAAAGAAAAGACTATTTATACAGCACTAAATTTCTCCCTTGACATGTTTCTCACTTAGAAATAAATCATTCAAACTGGAAGATATTTTACTTTTTATACAAGATTCAGGAACCAATTTCTAACAACATAAACAAGCCAAGCCTAAATTCCCAAGATACATTCAAGGGAAAAACAGATTCATATTTCCTAGACGAAGAAGTCGGAAATACTGAAAGCTTATCAGTGGATAGTGAACTAAATCAAACTAAACACAGATCCATTGAACAGCGAAAAGAAACGTCCTTCCATTATCTACACACAGATAAAACCTTGAACCCCAATCACAGTGTTCCTCGTAATCTATTCTGACTAAGGGCGACTGCGGTGGCGGCAACACTTCAACTGACTTACCAGGCACCATACATCCCAGATTGCCCAACAGCATACAACATGTGACAATGTGGGCTTGCTTCAACTTGCAAGAGGTCATACAGTACAACAGTACGGTTTGCAAATGGGAATTTTGTTAACTATATTTTTATTGTTGTATTAGTTGTTCCAAGAAAGACCCTTTCAGAACATTAAGCACATATGTTTTTGTTTGCTTGCTTGCTTGCTTGCTTGCTTGCTTGTTGATTAATGTCAAACTCAGCAATATTCCAGCTTTATGATGGATGCTTGTAAGTAATCAAGTTTGACCCACACAAACCAATAACTGAGCAGCATCCTACACATTGAAGGTAAGATGACACATAATCAACCTCGTCACTGAACCAAAATACTGGATCCATTAAGTCGCCTCGTACGGCAAGTACTGGTTACTGGGGACCTATACCAACCAAGAATCAGTGTAAGACTCTCAGATCTTACTTCTGTCCAAGATCTTACCATATCATAGCCAAAAGTATTACGTATAATGAGAAAGTTAGATTTCGTAAAAATATCACTATCCTAACTCTAATCCTAACCATAAATGTAAATCTTATGTTACTGGTAGTAGAGAATGCCCATGGTCTGTGATAATTAAGTCCGTGCTGAAACACACATGAGAAAAACAACAGGCTAGATGACTTGTGGACACATGCCCAATAAGAATACGATGTCATCATGGGCACACATCCAGAATGTATCTGACGCCATCACAGGTGTGACGCTGTAAAATAATGGCAATGAATATTTCAGCAATAAGAAATGTTCCTTTACAGATGATACAAAACCATTAGTGATCGAGGGTGTGAGTGAGTTGGTTTAACCCCCTGGATGCCACAGGGACATATATCTCCCTCCTCTACAACCCTCACTTTGAAGTCGAATAAAATTCAAAATACATCACCCACACAGATACACTTCACACTTTTGAATAAGGTGGGAAATTCCCTGTTCTGTGATATCATCCACTGGCATTGTAAGCCACGCAAAAGTACTGAAAATGACCTCTGAAAATTAGGTACATTGTAAATGTCGCCATTTTTTACACATTACTAATCACCAGTCACAGCGTTATTTACAGCATGTTTTGAAATCTAAATTTTCGGAAATTTATTTGGAGAAATGAATTTCATAAATAGCATATTAGTGATTTCTGTCTTTTATGAAATTACCAATTATCATTCCAAAACGTCGATGATAACCCATGAATCGTTTAGAAACAACGCCGAAGTGAACTTTCCGCCATATTTGATAGTGTTTGCAAACACAGTTTATAGTGTCGAATACGGTATTTCTTTCCTTTGGACAAGTGTTACAAGATGAAATGTAAATGTAACTGTAGCATGTACGTATTTCTTGGAATGTGTAATAGTCAATATTATAAGTTCATATAACCAATGTCCACGAATAGCCGTTTTATTTTATTTTATAACTAAAACTGAATATATTACTTTAACAAAATGGATAATATTTTTCGTTAAAATACATGCACACATTTCTGAAAGAATTGTCTTGATCTTGGAATTGGTTTTTTTTATGTCGTTTGATACACAGAACAGTGATATCTAATGATTCGCCAGGTGCGTTAGCCACAAACATTTTACGAATTATTCCTCTCGTTTCGCATTATATAATCATATGGTTCATTCTTTTTTCAATATTGTGATTACAGGATATTAAACTGTTTATTTATTTCTCCAGGAATTGTTAAAAGTTAAAAAATAAAACCCATGCAATGTACCCTGTTGGTTCAACCGTATACAATTATCCTGATAATTCTATACCAATAGAGCTTTTTTCGCATCTTTTATTGTGTAATTCTGAGACGAGATGAAGAGAAATAATAACACAATAATGAACAAATATATGTCTAATATTGAATATAATTTTGGTTGTTTTGAAATATACTTTGGGGTATTTCATTACGTAAATTGATGCCAAACAGGTGTGTGTCTTGTCCAATTAAGATACACGATAAACTATCTAATATATTCAATTCATTATTTACTTGGTGAAAGCATACATTTTATGTTGTGTCAAAAAAGCGTCAAATTCAGTTTTACACATCGAGATTTCCCATACCATGACGAAAATTAGGGGAGATATATATTAATCAAATACCAGTGTCGTGTTTTTCTGACGTTATCAAAGACATAAAACCAGCCATGACGTCAAATAGAATGGTGTTATTTTGATGGTATTTCATTACATTTGATGATAAGGCTAGTGTTCCATTAATTAAGGTGCAACATTAGTCAAATTACACTTACACATTCAGGAGAATGTTGGAATGTAAGGACTAAGTTATAGGTTAGATAGGGCCATCCATTTCTCTATTACCTCTTTTTGATGAAGTAGGATTTCATCATTTCTTATGGGTTTTTTTTATAACTAAACGTATACAGTTTCAATATCAATATTTGTGTTGGAATAGTTTGGTTCCTCGTGAACAAAACACCACGAAAATATATTGTCCTCACCCACAGCTAATTCTCACCAAGTGACCTGAGTTACAATATACTAGTGCTAAGCATACCTGAGTTATGCCCCCTTTTCTTTGTACGTGTGAAACCTCTCTGTCGCCTTTTGACGTCATAGAGAAAAATCAGTTTCTGTCATGTACGGCATGCTATTTTTGGCATTGAATGTACTTACGCATATAACTCCATTTGATATATAGTTATGTTGTTCAGATATTAGGTAGTATTTTGTTCACTCGCAGTTTCCGTAAAGCTTCTAAATAAACCAGGATTTGAACCCATGATAGAAACCAAATGTTGGCTAAATACATATTAGAAGTTGTATAGCGAAGGTCAGAACACTGACACCCAAAGTTACATCCAACTAGTCTAAAGCTTATTTCAGACAAGTGATTCGTGCAAAAAAACAAAGATTTTGGAAGAAAACAGGCAGCCTTCCTGAAATCCGCTGGTCTTTGAACTAGTGGCCACGTTTAACACAGAGAATGTAATGCAGACCATACTCCATATCAAGGCTACACCTCATGCAAACAGCTAGACAAAAGCCATGCATAGGATGGTATAACATTCCTTTTCTCCAAAAGTATCAGTAAGTTGGGTTTTAAGCCACTTTTAACAGGAGTTGATTTGTTTCCGATAATATGACAAGAAATAAAGCATAAACTTACTCTTCCTGCCCCAGATGTATTTCCTGTACAACAGAGGAGCATCTGGTCCAATATCCACCTCACTATCATAATCCTTCTTTTTAAGGCTTCGGGGAGAGTCTTCAGTACCTTTAGGTTTTTTACTGTCCGCAGAACTGAGCCTTCCCTTCCGCCCCTTCTCAGGCCCAAATGGGCCAGCTGGACGCCTCCTCTTCTTCTTCTTCATACTGGACACTTTAACCTGCCCGTTATTTTTCAATGTTACTGATTCTCTTCCATATGCATCATTATAATTATGGCTTCTGCTCTTCTTGCCATCATTTCCCGGACGACCGAGAAACTCATCCTTGACTCTAGGACTACCCACAACACCATCAACTCCCTGACTATGATGGACACTTCCCTGTCTATGCCGATCATAGCTGTGATACTTGTCTGTCTCTTTGCCAAATTCATGACGTCTGCCAGACATGATATCCTCATCTACCATTTTGGGAAGTCGACTCAAACTTCCAGATTCTTCTTGCTTTCGATGATCACTTTCAGTACTGATGTACTGTGATGGATATTGTCTTGCACCATAGACGCCATTATTGAAAGGCTGTCTACCTATTTTTAACTTTCCATAGCCTGCTACATAGTCCAGCGGACCTTCAATATCATCTTCATTAAAGTCTTCGGATTCACTGTACAATCTGTGATACCCATAGCGATAGCCCTGTGCCTTAACCCCAGCTTGCTTCTTGTAAATACCAAACCAAGGCTTATTTTCATTGGAACCATGTTCCTTGCCCAATAAGTTTCGGCCACGTTTGGCAGATAACCTTCTTGGTTGTTGTTGTTCATACATTCTAAACCGATAATCTTTCTTCAGGTACTCAGTATTCATTTTTATCTCAATCTCAAAAGGTATCAAATGAAGAGATATAACCTACGAAAAGTACACCATCACCTGCTTCCTGTAGTCGTATATGGATTAGAACACTTACCTTACTTCTTACGCATGATATTGAGTTGATAAGAATAGCCCCACATAATTAACTTCAAATAAGAAAAAAGCTGCTTTCCTCGAACGTAGATAAGGTGTCAATAATGTTGATTATTAAGAGCATTTCTCAAATTTGGTATTGGCTTTGAGTAGCACAATATAGGCGGCCAATAAACTGCCCAATATCATCAATCACTGTAATTATTTCTTTTTTCTGTAAGTATAATACCCTTGCCAATTTCATCTCAAATGTTCTAATTTCTACCATTACAAGATAAAACGAATCATCAGCACGGCTGTATATAGGCTAATTGCATACATTATATGAGTGGAAATAATTCCCAAGGTTGAAACCTAATATCAGCATACTGTGTATACACAAAGGACTAACAAATGAGATAACTCTCAAAGACACTTACAATTCCTTCACGAGACATGACTGAATTATCTAACAAATGAACACCACATCAACTTTCTAATATAATATTGCCTCTGTTTGATAATTCCAGAAAAAGATTTCTTCCGAAGCACAACTCCCATGTTTGTGATTCAAACTACACAGTTTTTGCTCAGAAAGTAGTGGCGTAAATCACATATCATCCTGGATTCTGGATCAGTATCACATGACACAAACTCCGAGTGGAACACCCATTGGGAGGTATACTTTCGGAAATCAGTCAAAATGATTTCAGTTTCCAACATGGCTCCAGTCAACCGTCCTCCATAAGCTTACACTGTGAGTCCCTATCAACAAACCTAGACGATCAACTCGCATGATCACATAGTGAATGCCATAACAAGACTGTCTACTAATAAAAAGGGAGAGCCCCCCTTTAACTGTTGAATTATTCAGCTTCAAATGACACACTCAGTGCAAACAAAGAGGCATAACCACTCCAAAATTATCAACCAATATTGATGAAAAAATTACATGGTTTCCAACCACACTCACAATGATTTCTTTACAATACAGATCCATTTAAATCCAAAAGAAGCAAGAGCATGTATTGAATTGACAATCAGGGTATTGAGTCTTTTATGTCATATTCAAATGATCTTGACAGGCAATGGAATCTGAAGGAGACATTTGTGTTTAACTGTGACAAGCTTTGTCAAGATTATCAATGGCTATAATCACAGAGAAGGTCAAAGATGTCTGTCGAGTTGGGGCAGTCGGCATAGTTCCTCCAGTGAACTGGCCTGTCACAATGTTGTCTCGGTGATCGTAATGGCTTGTCTACTTTCTTATTGGGTGGTGGTTTTGCCAAGTGGTTAAGCATTCGCTTGTCATGCTGAAACCCGGGTTCGATCTCCGTATGGGTACATTGTGTGAAGCCTGTTTCTGGTGTCCTCGCCGTGATATTGCTGGAATATTGCTAAAAGCAGTGTGAAACCATACTCACTGACTACTTTCTTATTGGAGAATAATTCACATTAAAAAATGGAAAGTGAGTAACACGCTTTTTCTTCGGCATATGGGAAAGTATTTGAAGGAAATTATTTGAACATGCCAGAGACTCTGTCAGTATCAGTGACAACCATAGATTGTCGTACAAACAACAATCAGTTAGCATCTCATGACACATATAAATTGCTGGATAAACACTTTTTTCAATTAAACATTAACCAGTGATTAGGGTGCTTTTAGCAATATTCCAGCAATATCACAGCGGGGGACACCACCAGAAAATGGGTCAGAATCTAACCCGGGTCTTCACTTTAACCACCAGGCTAACTCCCCCACCCCCTACCCCACCCACACACACACGCACGCACGCACACTCGCAGGCACAAACGCACGCACGCGCAGGCACACACACACACACACCAGTGATTAGAGGATTATTTAGTCATTAGCTTGTACCAATGTGGAAAATCAAACTCAGGTCTTTGGCATGACGAGTGAACACTTTAACCACTAGGCTACCCAACTGCCCCACCAGTGGTTAAAGGAGTCATAAGCTTATTAGGAGCAACACAACCAGTTGTGTGGAAGTCTAAGAAGGAATTGTGTATTATACATGCAGACACTGAGTGTCTTACTGCTAGCACGTTAACACCGGGAATAACATGTCAACAAATCCACACTGAGGTACCCCATGCAGGTATGACAATATCTTGTAGTATTAATATTATAAAATGGTGAATCTATGCTTTAGTATGTATAACACAGTTTCTTTTTATGACAATAATGAATGTAGATTTAAATTCTTTTGATCTTTGCATTTTAAATAACCAAAGTAGTTAACTGAATCACTGGCAGAGCACAGGAGCAAAGGTAAGAATCACAGTTCAGTGTGATGGCTGTTTTCAGGTTGTTTTACGATCAAACACACACATAATAGTATTGTGTAGAGTACATGAAAATTCAGACTGTAACAGGCAATGCAATTAAAGTTGTAAAGTTTTATAACATGTTATCGCAGAATGTTTTATTGTTTTGCTACAGCATTTGAACTTAGCTTGCCCTCTCTCCGACATAAAATTTGCAGGTGTGCATGGTTCTTAAAATACTTTCCACAGCTGATTGTAGGGCCTTTGACCTCTAGGTCACAGTCGCCTGCTATCTAGTAAAACAAACAGAATATCCAAATGATCAATTATTTCAAGAAAAGCATATTATTATATTAGTGACTGATGCTTTTGCAGATCTATTCATCCAACTGTCAATTTCAGCCACAATATTTTGATATCGGATATCTTCACAGTGCAGTAGGGGGCACGGGTGGCCCAGTCATCTAAGGCGCTGCGATTCGCTGTGCAGAGTTGCGTCCCTTGGGCATGCCAGAAACCTTTGATTGTGGGTTCGAATCCCAGTTCGCCCCAATTATGTTTCTAGGTTTGTCAGCACCATACCCGTGCTCGTGGGTTTCACCGAAGTGGTAAACGTCTGAGACCTGCATCACTTCGGGCTTTCCTCCCACATTAAGCTGACACGCCGTGATATAACTGGAATACTGTTAAATGCGGGGTTAAACCCAACTCACTCACACACTCACAGTGCAGTAACAAACACCTTAGCTTTGATTTTCCCAAAGACGCATCTATTTACGTCTTTGTTTTTCCTAAAATTGATATAAATTTGTAATTTTGATAGAAACAAAATCACAATAATTCGTATTTTCTATAAAAAAACCAATAATGCATAAAACTGAAATAATAACAGATAGTTGCATGCTTATTGGAATAATTAAGTCAGGACGACTACCTACAGGGATGACATTTGGTTGGATGGCATGTAAAGGGAAACAACTCTTGTCAATATAGACATCAGTGCTTTTACGGCTGGCTTCAAACATCCCAGCTGATTTGGCATTGCAACAGAAAGTAGAAGTTTATTGAGTAAATGAACAATATTCTTATTCAGGTGCCTTATACATTTTAAAGATGCTTCCATGTTTTAAAATAATCACAAGAGTAATAATCCTTGAAAATTTAACACTGTTATGCTTCAAATTTTGAAATTGATTTGTTATAAAATAAAATTTTACATTTTATCTACTGTAAAAAGTTATTACATAGACATATCTATGAAAAACTTTTCTGTATCATCTCCTTAAAGTTTGTTTTTGTTTGTTTGTTTGTTTGTTGTTTAACGCCTCACTCAGCAATATTCCAGCTATATGACGGCAGTCTGTCAATAATGGAGTCTGGACCAGACAACCGAGTGATTGACATTATGAGCATTGATCCACGCAATTGGCATAGAATGATATGCATCAACCAATTCAGTGGGCCTGACCACCGATCCTGTTGGTCGCCTCTTACAACAAGCAAAAACGCCTTTATGGTAATTAGCATGGGTTGCTGAAGACCTATTCTACCCCGGTTCTTCACGGTCCATCTCCCTAAAGAGCCTACCATATAAGTACTAGTAATCTGTACAAGTAACACATATTAACCATGTTAGCAGTAGATATATATAAATACTTTAAGGAACGATATATGTGACTCTAAGAATGATGCATGTTAATACTACTGCATCAAGAAATCCATTCCTGGTAAGATCAAACTACAACTACACTGTTATTGGCTGTACAACTACCCAATTAAACCCTTAACAAAACAATCACTTCATTGATTTTGTGTTGATCACTTGGTAATTCTAAAAGGTCCATCATCTCCCTGGATTTAATGTTCTCCTTATGCTGGTGATGGTGGACAATTATTTAGTCTAATGATCTTCTCCCGCACATGTCTACAACATGACTTGACTTGCACTTTATGGGGCTGTTGTGTTATTCCCATGGATTTATAAACATGCAGTACCTCCAACGTATCCAGTACATAACAAGAACAGGACTTAGGGAAAAAGAAAAAGAATTCCAAAATTTATCAATTTGGTGGAATAAGAATTGTTTGCCGGTTTCTTAAAATCTAACATGGGCATCAGTCCCAAGTTTTAGTATTTTCCAAAAAAATTGATATTTTGAAGTCACAGAAACTTCTTTTTGATGTAACAACTTTTTATTCAGCCTACAGAGGGTCAATTGTTTAAAACCTTCCATAAAATTGTATTTCATTTAGGATGCTTGTATAACCTATATGATCTATATTGCACATAATTTAATCAATGACTGTTGTATGTTGTAATACAGGACTGGGCAATAACTCTGGTATGTTGTAATACAGGACAGGTGTATAACTCTGGTATGTTGTAATACAGGACTGGTGTATAACTCTGGTATGTTGTAATACAGGACTGTGTATAACTCTGGTATGTTGTAATACAGGACTGTTGTATAACTCTGGTATGTTGTAATACAGGACTGGTGTATAACTCTGGTATGTTGTAATACAGCACTGTTGTATAACTCTGGTATGTTGTAATACAGCACTGTTGTATAACTCTGGTATGTTGTAATACAGGACTGTTGTATAACTCTGGTATGTTGTAATACAGCACTGTTGTATAACTCTGGTATGTTGTAATACAGGACTGTTGTATAACTCTGGTATGTTGTAATACAGGACTGTTGTATAACTCTGGTATGTTGTAATGCAAGACTGGTGTATAACTCTGGTATGTTGTAATACAGAACTGGTGTATAACTCTGGTATGTTGTAATACAGGACTATGTATCACTCTGGTATGTTGTTATAAACTCTCACATGCTACAAGATATCATTATTTTTTATTGATCACAAATGGCATATGTCCATTGCCAATCAGTTCAAGGTCATCGAGCCCACTGTACAGCCCAGCTTATCAGCAAAGCTACATACCACACTTGCTTAATCAACATCGCAACATAGAATAAGTCTGTCAATAACAGCCGCAGATCGTGTATTTGAGATCAAGCACAATACACACATACTCTAAAACATTGAGAT